ACAGGTTCTGCATGAGTTTAAACACCCATTTACTCCCAGCAATATTGACACCAGTAGGATGAGGCACAAGCATCCATGTATTATTTTTCCCAAAAGGCATCGAATTCAGACTCCATGGCATCTCGCCAGGCCGGATTAGCTAAGGCCAGTTGATAAGACGTGGGAGTAGTGACAATAGCAAAAGCTCGTTTGGTGGGATCATAGTGGATAGTGTCATGGTGAACTGTTTAGGAAACATTTTGCCAGCATGTGCTTGAGTCCGAATGCTAGAGAGATTGAACCACAACAGGTGATGATGTCGATGGTGTAAATGGAGCAGGTATGTCATGAATCGGAATAGATGCAACTAGTACCATTGGCGTGTGAACTGGAGCAGGAGTGCTTTGTTTAGGATTGTATTGATGCACCGATGGTAGTGGTGCCAATGATGGCACTGATGGAAGAGATGTTGTAGCTGCATGAGAATTATTAGGTAGCAGAAGAGATAAGTCATAGTTTCGCATATCATCATTGATAATTGCCAGTTTTGTTTTGGAAAAAATAGATGACTTTAAATATGTGAGGTGGTGTGGCTGAACGCTTTGTTTTTGCAAACGGAAAACGCGATTCATCAAAAATAACATCTCGAGATATATATATATATATATATATATATATATATATATATGTGTGTGTGTGTGTGTGTGTGTGTGTATGTGTGTGTGTGTGTGTGACCGGTAGATTTATCTAAACACTTTTAGCCCTTGTAAATGGAACTATAACCAATCAAAACACACAATTTAGACTGAAAAGCGAGTTTGTGAGTATTGTATTTTCGAAGACTTGGCCAAAAAGCACAACCAAAAACACAAAGAAATGAGTAATCTGGATTTATATTTAAGAGACGTGTTATGGGTGTAGTATTGAATGTGGTACGACTGGGCATACGATTTATGAGATAGCACGCGGTTAGAAAAGCCTCATCCTAAAAACGAAGAGGAAGGGATGATTGTGCAAGAAGGGCTAAACCAGTTTCAACTATATGATGATGTTTGCGTTCAACTATTCCGTTCTGTTGAGATTTGTGGGGACAAGACACACGATGAGCAATTCCATTTATTTGAAAATATTTGTGAAGTCTTTGATACTCCCCACCCCAATCAGATTGAACACTAATAATTTTTGCATTCAAGAGTCGTTCAACATAATGTTGAAACACATAAAATACTTGTTCAACATCATATTTGTGTTTAATAAGATAAATCTAAGTGTATCTACTAAATTCATCCACAAAACTAACATAATATTTAAAACCTCCACTAGACACTTGAGCAGGTCCCCAAACATCAGTATGGACAAGCTCGAGATGAGAAGACGTGACACGAACATAACTATCATAAGAAAGTTGATGACTTTTTGAACGTTGACATGCATCACAAATAGACGACTCACTATTAAAAGAACGACATGATTTATTAGAATTTAAAATTGTCTTGACAATTGTTAAACTAGGGTGACCGAAACGTTGATGCCACTGCGATATGGAGACCTTGACACTTGAAAAAGCATGATGAGATTAACTACTGGAGTGACTGACAGGCACATGATATAGACCTCCTTTGCTTCTATCGAGTAGAAGTGTTTTCTTTGTGGCAATGTCCTTAAGAAAGAAAGTATTAGGATAAAGCTCAATGAACACATTATTATCATAAACAAGTCTTTGGGCAGATAAGAGATGTTTATTAATGTGAGGGACATGTAAGATGATTGTAAGCGCAAGAGGTGGACCTAAACCCGAAATTATAGAATGACCAATATGTAAAACAGACAAACCTGCACCATTTGCAACTTGGACTTGGTCTTTTCCGTGGTAGTGATCTTGCACAATGCGACGATCAAGATTACTAGTCAAGTGATTAGTTGCTCCTGTATCGAGGTATCAACTAGTGTTGGGATTGTGACCTCCTAATGTCACATTGTTTTTACTATGATAATCTTCCGATTGGTAAGCATGGTTGAAGTGATTCCTGCAAATTAATGCAGTATGACCTGGTATCCCACAAACTTGACAACGTGGTCCACCACCACTATTTGGAACTTGGCCGCGATCTCATCCACAACCGGCTCTGCCATGGTAATTTCCTCGTTGGTGGCTATAAGAATTGTTGTAGCCATTATTATTAGTGTGGCTTTTTTTTATGTGTGTGTGTGTGGCGGGGGGGGGGGGGGCACTTTTGTTGTTTGATTCTTGGCGAGAGACATTATTAGCAGAAGATGAAAACTCAATTGTACTTCCCACTGCAGCAGCTTGGGCCTCATGAACGATTAGATATGAATAAAATTCAAGGAGAGTAACCTTACATTCGTTGCTAAGTACAGTAATTGTGGTGAACAGATCACCGTGACATACCTCTTCATCATTCATCGGTTGACCAATATTCACCGTTGTAATAGCGAAACCGGTCATTTTCTGGTAGTATTCGGTTGCACTCATGTCTCCCTTCTTCGTGGCTGAGAGTTGTGTCCGAATTTGAATTGAATTTCCTCTATGTTGTGCTGAGAACATTGTGTGGAGTGTTGTCCACAACTCTTTAGTTATGCCAATGCAACGGATTAGATGGGGAAGAACTTATTCAGTCATGAAGGATAAGAGACCTCCAATCACGGCTTGATCTAGAATTAACCAAGTTTCATAGTCTGGGTTGGGTGATTCTTTTGGAGGTTATGTAGTTTCTTTTCTAGCAGCAGCACCAGTTCCTGTGGTTATGGTAGCATGAGGTGGAGGTGTTGTGCCATTGAGATGGCCAAAAAGATGAACTCCTCGTAAAATAGGAATAACCTGTGCTTTCCATAACAAAAAATTGGTGCATGTTAATTTGCATGATATGGCAGTAGTAATGGTGGATGATTTTACAAGTGCAGACATTATAGAAGGAGAGAGATACTCTATGGAAAGAGACAAACATAATCGAATATGAGGTTAGGGTTTTGGAGTAGGTGGATCACGCTCAGATACTAAGTGAAGAATATAATTTGGCATGAATAACCCTTTCGGTATTGATCTCAATATATATAGGAAACAATTACAACTGTAAATCCTAAGATAAATGATCCTATCTATAGAGAAATATATATCTAATATTTGAAAATATTAGGCTATCGTTTCTTATCCTTAGGGTATCGATTCTTATCCTTTTTACAAAACACCCCCTGAATATTGATCGTTGTTCATTTTCATCTAACTTTGGATTTTTAAATTAGGGGAAATGAATAGAAGGAAAAAAAGAAAACAAAATGGAAAAAAAATGTTTAATTACATCTGTTTTCGAGTTTAAATAAATAAAAGAAAACAGAAAAAAAAAAATATGTTATCAAATTGAAAGGAAATAAAAGAAAATTAAATTACATAACAATCGTTTCTTTTTTACATAGCAATTCTTTCATTTGGCTCCCAAGAGACTATAATTATTGGTTCTTTAAGGAACCAATTTTTTAACAAGTTTTAAAGTTTATTCTTTATCGAAAAAGAAAACAAAAAATATTTAAATTCATAACTTAACATTGTGCATTAAATATATTTTCCGGATTCACGGTGTGAATCTAGATTCACAATGTGAATTTGATGAAAAAAAAAATTTATCGAATTTGATATCTTTGGAAAAATGATAAAAAAAGTTATGAATTTGTATATATTTAGTGTTTTTTTTTTTTTTTTTATAAAAAATAAGTTTTAAAAATTTTTAAAAAAATGATTCATTGATTAGTTATTGTTCTCTATTGAACCTCATATTATATATATATATATATATATATATTATATATATATATATATATATATATATATATATATTATATATATATATATATATATATATATATATATATATATATATATATATATATATATATATATACCTCAAAGAAATAAACTCTTCTTTGGATATTGGATTGAACCCAGCCGCCCTATTGTTTTGCCTTATTTAAAAGGTAAAGGCCCAAAATGATGATTTTTTTAGTTGTAAAATTGTCATGCTTTTAACAAAAATATTTATACTTGCATATTTATTGAAACTTTAAAATAATCATTACATACACACAATAAAGATAATCACAAAAATGACGAACGAAACAAAGGGTAAAACACAGAATGAACATCTTTTGAGGGGTGTCATAAAATAATTATTAATTTTGTGAAATGAATTTTGAGAAAATTACTTTTGATTTATAAAATTATTTTATAATATGGCGTAATGTTTTAAAGTTTGCCATGTTTTTATGATTTTTATTGTGAAATTCTTGTTATACATAAATTATTTCTTTTTTGCAGAAAAGAAAAAGTTTATTCTCTTTCATTTTTGAAAAGGGTTTATTATAGTGATGATTATTCATAAAGCAATTACGAAAATTAGACTAATTTCGTTAAGTCCATTTTAAAAAAGGTGTGCTTATTCCCTCATACTATCCATTTTAATCATTTTGTTATTAACCCTAATTCTAAACAAATGTACTATAAATTAACAAATTGATAATTAACTTGTGATACATATTTGAAAGTTAGCCGCTTCATCATATAATATGTTTTCTTAATCATTTTAGTTAGTAAACACATTAAATGAGGAAAAAGTTAACCGATCTTATCATAAAGTTTGCCGCCTACTTGTAACTTAATCACGTCAACTACGTGTTGCATAGCTAGTGAACATATCTGCAATTTAGTCTTAAAATAATTAAGAGAAACATGAAGATTGCTTATGGTTTGAAAATGTGTTATCATAGATCATTACTTATTAGACATTTAAACGCTTAACATTAACAAACAAACAAACAAAATAGACAAATAATATAATGTGATCAACATCTTTTGATTATGGAATACAAAACGATTAAAAAAAAAAAGACGAATAATATAATGTGATCAACATCTTTTGATTATGGAATACAAAACGATTAAAAAAAAGACGAATAATATAATGTGATCAACATCTTTTTTATTATGGAATGCAAATCATAAAGATGCATATGTGAGATATCAATGGTGACGCATAATGTCGATCAATCATGGTATAGTTTATGAGTACAAGTCATGACTTTTATAACCTCATATAACCATTTATGTGATTTGTTCAGACAATTTGGTGATCTTCAATCAAATCAAAGATAAATATAACCATATAATCCAACTTAATCAAATATTTGAAGTGTACAAACAAGCAAGATTCTATATGATACAATAATAATCATGAATAACAATAAATGAACTTTATATCTCAAATCACATTAAGAGCAAACAACAAATTTCAAAGCAAGCCAACCCACAAACACTTTTCTCTTTTGCTTCTGCAAAATATAATGCTTAATCACTCTCCTTCGGCTTTTCTTTTTCCTTTTCTTCATCACTCTTTGAATGATACCCTGGGATTTTCTCTTTTATTTTCTCAAAAATACCTTTTTTCTCCTTATGTTCACCTTCATCAGCATGCTCCTCCTCCTCCTTCTTATGGCCACCAGGAAGCTTCTCCTTGATCTTTTCAATGAAACCCTTCTTCTCCTCAGGTTTCGTGATCTTCTCCTTCAATGGCTTCTTCTTCTTCTTCTTCTTCTTCTCTCCGTTTTCATCACACTCTTCGTCACTCGACTGTTAACAATTTTCAACAAAGGAAACATTTTTTAGTATGGAAACATATCGTAATCAAACAGAGATCATGTCATTAAGTAAGCGATTTGATTCAAAAGTTAGAAATGGAGACAGAAAACTTACGCTACCGGAACTGCTATCGGATTTGTGAAGTTTCTCCTCCGGTTCCGGGTGAGAGACTTGAACTTTCTGTTCAAACTCCGATGAGATCGCGGCCTCTTCGCCTTTCTTCTCTTCGGCTTTCGTCCCAAAAATATCGAACAGTCCACGATCGGACTTCTCGACGACCTCTTCGCTGTACTCTTTTTTGTCAGACATGATGAAAGCTGAATCTGAATTAAGAATAAAAACTAAGTATGTGAAGGGAAATACTCTTTGATTGATTGGTTGTTCTTGGATGAAATAGAGAAATGAGATTGGTGTGATTGTAAGAATTGTGAGGGTGTTGAATTTATAGGGTCATGAGACACGTAGTTGACGCTATTAAGTTACAAGTAAGCTAGAGGATTCTTCAAATGTCGGTTTCATCTCTTCTTAGCTTTTCAAAAGTTAGAAATGATAATTATAAATTGACTCTTTATTGGATTACTAGTCTTCGCTGTGACACTTGAAAACAAAATGGTAAACGGGAAAGAGCTTATTATAAAAGTTTATTTGAATTTGAAAAATGAAAATTATAAATAAAAAAAATTAAAATTAAACATACGAAAAAAAATTAAAATTACGCACTTTATTGTGAAATTCGTTTACTAAACTGGTTAAATATAAAAAATATATATATATTAAATACGAAGATTTAAACTGTAATTTATTTGAAATTAAAATTGAAATTCAAAATTTAATATTAATATAGTTATTATGGTAAGTTTAATTTATGGAAACTAAATTAATGATATATTAGAAAAATAAAAATTAACGAAATGACAAGTGAAAAATAAATATCTCAAAATTATGATAAAATAGACGTGTTTGGCACGGAGTTTTTGGAAGCGTTTGATAGTTTTTATTTTTTAGCTTTTTACAAAACGCTTTAGTTTAAACAAAAAGTTTCGTTTGACAGTACGAGCGTTTAGCTTATAGTTTTAACAAAACGCTCCGATTTCTAAAAGCTACTTCATGTAGCTTTTAACAAAACGCTCCGAAACTTTTGAAATCAATTTCCATAATTACCCTTAAAAATATATTTATATATTTTTTTATTTTTAATCGATTGTCCTTTTATGTAATTTTATATATTTCAAAAGCTTCCAGCTACTTTTGCCAAACATTCATATAACAAATAAAAGTTACAGCTTTCCGCTACCAGCTAACCGCTACCCGTTTCCAGCTAACAGCTACTTTTACCAAACACGCCCAATGACATCTAGCCAATTGTGAGACCCGTGTACTAAACGAGTTAATTATAATAATACTAGTTTATAACCCGTGGGAACCACTGTTATAAAATTAATTCAATTTTCATAGCAAAAATTCATAGTTACTAATCAAATATTTTAAATAAATAATTTTAAATAAATTATTAATTTAGAGATATACCAAAAATTTAAAAGTTAGTTATAACGTCAAATTTAACTTATAATTAAAAAGTAATTGAAATTTGAAATTTGAAAATAATATAGTCATTATGGTAAATCTAATTCATGGAAACTAAATTAATGACACATTGGAAAAAAAAATGAAGTAAATGACAAGTGGAAAATACATATTTCAAAATTACGAAAAAATCTTATGTGACAAATTGAATGAGAAAATGACATGTGGCATAGTAGATCTTTATTTATTAGTATAGAGATTGTATCCTTCTTTAGTAACCAATTGAATGGGAAAACGACATGTGGGTGTCTTCTCCACATCCTTCTCTCTCACCATCACCTGATGATACCCTAACCTCAAGTCGATCTTAAAGAATCAAGATGCACCCTGCAACTGATTAAAGAGGTCGTCAATCCACGGAAGGGGATAATGGTTCTTCACCGTCGACTTGTTCAACTCCCAGTAATCAATGCACATTCGGTGTGAACCATCCTTCTTCTTGACGAACAGTATTGGCGCTCCTCACGGCGAACTGCTCGGCCTGATGAACTGCTTGACTAACAGCTCCTGAAGCTGAAAGGACAACTCCTGCATCTCGTGTGGTGCCAAGCGGTACGACGCATTGGCAATTGGAGCCGCACTGGCACTAGGTCAATCCTGAACTCAATCTGTCTCTCGGGAGGCACACCCGGGAACTCCTCAGGAAACACATCAATAAACTCCCTGACTGGCACCTCTGAAACTGAATTATGCTCCCCTACCCGTGTATCAACCACATAGGCAAGATAACCCATACTCCCATGTTGAATATACAACTGAGCCATGGCTGCCAAACAAAACCCAGATCCAACCCCGGTACCCTCTCCGTAGATGACCAATTATCCCCTACTTAGGGTTCGAACTATCACTCGCTGACCCTCGCAATCGATCATAGCACCAAACCTGCTCACCCAATCCATCCCCACTATTACGCATACATCCCCCCATAGGAATTGGGATCAAATCAATCGGATAAGGCACCCCGAAAATCTCCAAAATACAACCCCAATACACTCGGGATGCAGAAATCTCGTGTTTGTTGGCAATAGAAACTCGCAACGAACACTCCAAATAGCTAAGATTCGTATCAAAATCCCTACTAAAAGATCGAGACACAAAGGACCGACTCGCGCCCGAGTCAAATAACACAAAACGATGGAAAGAGTTCAATAAAAATGTACTTATTAGAAACATAAACATAAGCATACCATAAAATAATCGACAAAACAATAAATTGAAACATAACAGTAACGACATTTGGCACTGCCCTTTCCTCCTCTTCCGTGAGCTGAAAAGCGCAACCTCGAGCCCTCGGGGGCTCCGTTCTGCCCTGGCTCCCATCTATGATCTTCAGAGTAGCTGGCGTTGGAGCTTATGCTTGTCTAGTAGTAAGAAAAGGCCATTGGGCCTTCATATAGTCCACGTGGTCATAGTGATAGCAAGTCCTTGTGCTCGGAACTAGAGTCTACTGACGATGATCCTTGGCATAATGCTCTTCCTTGCCACATTTGTGGCAACCAAATGAAGATCGATAGATACCCTCATGAACCCTACCCCACTATCTACAAATGTGACCCTGCTGACCTCCGGACCACGAATCAGCGGGCTTGAACCACTTCGCCGCAGGCTGTGTCTGAACCGGCACCTGCCTACACTCTCTCACATGGAGCTCCATCTTGATATTCCGCCTCCTAGCGGCCTCCTACAACTCCACAAGTGTACCATAGTGTTGTTTGGATATGAACTGGTGGATATTCGTCTTGATCATGCTCAAGTACCGGGTCATCTGAGATTGCTCAGAAGCAGCAAACTCAGGACAAAACATAGCTCTCTCTGTAAATATCTTGGTGACCTCAGTCACCGACTCACTCCCCTACCTCAGATCCAAATGCTCCTGAGCTAGCCTCTCGTGCTCCACCAATAGAACATATCTCGAGCAGAACATCTCAGAGAACTACTCCCAAGTCACAACAACCCTCTGCTCCGGAGTGTACGATCTAGTCCCCAATCTCCACTAATCCTTCGCTCCAGACCGAAGAAGGTGAGGATACTCACCTCACAGTCTGAGGAATAGTTGAACAAGATATGGATCGAAATATCGACTCTACATGTCACATATTCAACGGTCAGAGACCAAGGCTCAACTATAGCTCAAAAATACCAAAAATACCCTTAAGTTAAACTTGATCAACCCATGTCAAGTCAAAGTCAAAGTCAACGAGTCAAGAAGTCCACTTGGTCCACTCGGCTGAGTACGCAGGGCGTACTCAGCTCCTATACTGGGCATACTCATGACTTGACTGGAGTCGGATTTTGACTGCGTATGTGCGGCGTATGTTGGGGTACACATAACATACGCCCAAAATCTTCTTTTCTCAATAAGAGCTTAATGCATTGAGCTCTTACGTCCAAACTTCAGATCCAAGGCTAAAAACCACTAAGAGTCATAAAGTTTCCAACTTTATGACTTTGCATGTCCATTAAGTACATAATACACAAAACCCCAACTTCTTAATGCCTTAATTGTTGGCTTATGAGCATTCTAACACTCCTAAGTGTACATGCAACCCTAAATACCTTGGATCTATGTTTTCTCTATTATACATGCAAATATGAACATCCAAGGTATTATCCTAATCTAGCATACAATATTATCAATATAACAAGATAGAATACATACCTCTTTGATAGTGCTTGTCTTCATGAAGCTTGAGTGCCTAGTGCCCCAAGTGTGACACCTCAAATGGTTCACACAACACCATAAGCACTTGGAATAACTTATAGAGAAATTAGAACACTTCATGAAATCGTGTAGCCCTCATACATACACATAGTGTAGTCATAGTCACGATTTCTTGAGCCATGGGTTTCTTTTATATGGTGGCTATTAGGGTTACACCATGTAACTCATAACTTTACCCATTCCTTATACTCCATGGGTTTTAACGTCCATGGAGTATCCATGGGTCACCCCATGGACTTAGTCCAACATAAGGAATCTTGGATCACAAGCCCACATATATAAGAATGAATGATTTACACAATCAACCCATATATTTAATTAGTCTTCTTTTGATCACTTAATTAATACTAGATTAATTCTTGATCAATACTAATTAAATAATCTCATTATTCTTATTATTAATATACTAGAACTTATAATATATTAATAACCGTAAGTGTCTTATTTCTCTCATTATAGTCTATCCAAGTGCATGATGCCATGCAACCCAAATGGACCATGCCGGGTCGGGTCAAGTCTTACCAATTATAGTTATGGACTTAGACATTAATCCAACAGTCTCCCACTTGGATAAGTCTAAAACTATTATTGCGTATGACTTCAGGAACCAACTGGCAATCGTAGCTCTCAAAAGCTTCTGTCGAACTCTGACCTTGTAGATGAACTCTGATCTTTGTCAACGACTTGTCCATTAGATAAGGGATCATATATTCCTCCATTCTAGATATCATATGGACTGAGACATGGATTATAATCATTCTCTCTGTCCATTTGTTGTTTCCCGATTTCCGATTTATGACGACTGACTAATTGAACAAATCAAATCAGTCCTGGCCCGGCCGAGCACTTCCATTTGTCATCATCAAATCATCGAGGGGCCCACAGATATCGCTTTCATCCCGAAGGTAAAAGGAATGGATAAACTTCGACTCATATGGCTTGTTCTACTACTTGTTGAATCATACATAAAGACACGTTTTATAACATCGAGTTACCAATGCGTTTCGTGTAATCAATGTACTATCAACTCATAGTAACAACTCATATCTCTAGGTTTGAAGAATATAAGATATTATCGTCTCATGATCACTCGTGATAAAATCCATGAAGTGATTCCAATGAGCGCGGGTTGAATCCAATACTCAGAACTTATGAGCACTCATGAGTGTTGTAGCCATTTGTCCAACAACTTAGACCTCTACAAGCCAACCCA